TATTCCTCTGAGCGCATTTTACGTTCGTTGTTTGAAATAAGACAAAGATGACTAAGAATGAAATAAATCTTTAGGGACATGTCAGCTTGGCTGAGAAATAACACGGCCTCATGGGAAACCAAGTTCCTTCAAACAGGGGAAGTCTCAGCCCAATCAGGTGCCTTGCAGAGTTATGATCTCATTGTGTTGACAAGGGCTTATACTTCCTCTTATCTCTTTCGGCTCAGAGTTCAGCAGACCTCTCTGTAAGGGGAAAGAGTTCCTCTGCTTTGCAAACCTACCAAAGTGGGGGGGGGGGACCTCTGCGTTGGCCATATTACTCTTCAAAAAGACATTCGACTGAAAAGCAGGAAATAGCATCATCGTGGCCATTTAGTCGAAGCCTGTGGCTGCCTGTTAACTTTCTGTTGGCAAGGAGAGGGGCTTTGCTGATCTCCAGACGCTACACCTGTGAAACACTCAAGACTCGGAGCCAAATGACCAGCAAAGACAATAACCATTTAAAAGAGTACTGCTTTATGCCCGCAATTTGAATTAAATCCTTCTGCTACAGAAAGTGTGATGTTTTTCTTACGCTGCGGTGTGGATAACAGGTCGATGGTTTTCATAAACTCTGGGACACCAAGAGCTTTTGTTATACTGAAAAAAGTGGATTTCTTGTCACATGAGATGTTTAAAGCGATGTTATTAATCATGCTGTGTATAACAGCTGCCTTTATTTATTCGTAAATACAGCACAAACATCTTACTTGTCACAAGGAGAGGATTTTCTTTTACTATAAAAAGATAATTAATTCAGGCTGAACAAACTTAATGGTGCATTTGCCATCTGGGCAAAGCAAACAAAGCACCAGAATAGAATTGTGTGAAGAAAAAAATAATCAAAATACGGAATAAAAATACATGCTTAAGCTCTGTTTTGATTTCTTTAACAACAAATAACTTTCCACCCCAAGTATTGTGCTCATGCTTATTTGAAAGGAAATGTAAAAGGCAATAGGGCACTTAAAAATACATAGCTGAATGTAGACAACAATTTCAGGTGATTTCTTTCTGTCTTTATTTTTTACACATGAGCAACATAAGCAAAATGTTTCATAGGTCTGCATCTCTTCTCGTCTACACCCCTGAGGGACAGAAGCTCTTCTCGAATAAAATCATCTAGATAAAAGTGCTTTGTGAACTTTAAAGAACCATAAAAGTGTAAGATAATTATTTCCATCAGCCTGGTGTGTCCTTAGCAGAACTCATAGATATACTGGGGGCTTTGACTTTATTAAATCAACTCAGGAAAGTGAATTCCGTTAATGACCCATGATCTTGAAAAGCCTTGAAAAGATGGCACTTGCCATGGGGAACCATCACTGCCCTAACATTCAAGTCTCACCTATAGGCTCTTAGCTGCTTATTCAGAAATGCTGCTTCTTTCCTTTTCTCTCCATAAACATCTCAGATCTGTCTTTTCTCCACCACTGTGCGGCTGGACCTCATGAGTCCCTGAAGCCTATGTGTTTAACTGTGATTTCAAAGCTACCTCTTGCCCGCCACCCACCCACCCACCAAGCCACACCCATCTTGCACCTTTCCATCCCGTTTTAACTATGCCTTGCCACCAGACAGCAGACGACCATCATTATATCCTAGGGCCTTCCTCTACCCCAGCTTTCTTGATGAAGAATACTGGTCTCCTTCACCTCAAAGAGTTCTCATTAAGAAATGACTGAAAAATCCTTTTTTCAAAAGGGCTTCCTGGTGTAAAGATTCAGACCACAGATCCATTCCAGCTGGCCTCAGAACCCAAAACTGGATTTACACATTAATCCTGATGACAGAGGCATATGTACTGCAAACAGGTTTGTTGGATTTGACAGCAAATGAATAATTACTTACCAAAGTTGGTCTCCATTAAGTGTTGCAAGGTGTTCATTAAAGGACTCCAGTAATGAGGTCCATGTAAGACGAGGTTATTAGAAATACTTTTATTACCCTGGGATTAAGAGGTAAGGAGATTTTGACGTCGACTATTTTCTCAACTAGAAACAAAGCCTGCTGTATTTTTCACACACGCCAGAAAAAAAGCCTCTTTCTTTTTGGAATATAAAGCGAAATCTTTACCACCAATATCCTTACCTGGCCTATGAGACCATCTGGTATTTATCTTATCAGCTTCTTTCATTGCTTGTTCTGACCCTAGCCGCTCTGGCCTTCCTTCCTCTCTTTGAATGCGCTCTCATCCTGCCTTACTGAAGATTTTGGCAGGATGTTTCTCAGGTGGATTCCCCCCAGCCCCCTGTCCCCTGCCCCGCCATCTGTCTTTATACTGCACAGCAGAGCTCAGACACCACTGTTTGAAAGAAGCTCTGACAGCTTGAAAGGATCTGCCGCTTCCTTTCTGTGCTCACCTGGTGCCCTTCACAGAACTGGTAACCAAATGAGCACGCGGGCGGTTAATGGGGTAACAGGATTCTCCTCCGGGAATGTCAACTCCGTGAGGGCCGAACGTAAGGCTGCCTCCCTCACGCGTGTAAGGGCAGCATCCACCATCATGTTCGCACACGGTAGGTTTTCAACAAACCAGGTTACGATCCGGCGGAAGGAGTGAGACTTCCTTCATGAGAGTGAGGATGATGAGAAAAAATCACTTTTAGGGTGACGCTGGACCCTCTAGTAATTTCCGCAAGTGTTGACACAGCTTGTAGAAACTCAACGTACAATCTTCCGTTTGACATCTGGGCAACAATCTCCTCTCCAGTTCCTCTAGCGGTCAACTGATTTTGAAATCTAGGATGAAAGAGGTAAAATATAGGACTGTCCAAAGTTCAGAAATACCGGAAATAAAACCAGTCGATCCTTTAAGTGGTAATTCATGAAAGTTTATTGAGCACACACCACAACAGCAGCCTGTAAACCAGAAGCATCCGTATCAAACTACAGAAGGCAGCTCAGGGGTATATGGTTACAGGGTAGTGGCTTTAAAGGTGAGAGAGCAGTGACAATTTGTTCTTCACAGTGATTGGTTATATTAGAATTTTCTTAAATGAAAGGGAATTTGTCAATGGTTACCTCATATCAATCTTGGGAAACAGCTTAGGTTTTGCTTATGATTTTCAGATGCATAAACAGGAAATGATCCAGTCAGGTTAGTCTTGCCAAATAAGCTAAATCAGGGTTTGTTTGTGTGAATAAACTGGTTTTTTCTGCTCAGGCAATTTTCAAGGCTGGTCTCCATTTGCTTTTTAACAAGGACAAAGTCACCGCTATTAATGATTCATTAATTTTTCTTCTATGTTCCATCAGATAGATTATACAATTAGGGGACTTTTCAATGAAGCTAAAGTTTGCCTTGCATAATAAATTTCTTAGTGAAAATAAAATTCAATCATCAGACACATTCAGAAGCACTGAACTAAATCTCTATGGAAATGGGATTTCCTCTGGGCAAAATATTTACACATGACATGCATATGTTAACTGTGACTCACATATGAATGCAGAGAACTTGGCTGAGATAACACAGATGAAGGAATAAAAATGATTTCTCTCGTATTTCTAAGGGGGAGGGGGAATGGATCGATCACAGACTTGGTTTTCATATCATATATGTTGGTTTGACTTTACGAGCCTCTGAATTTGATGGACGGAAAGAGTAACACATCAAAACACACAGAAGCTCCTCTCACAGGAGTAATAGCAGCAAAAGAAAAGAATTCCATCGATTCTCTGTTCTAAGGTAAAAACTGAAAGTATGTAAAACTAGGCTTGTGACTGGGTTTTAACAATCTCTGGACTCACAGATTATGTGTTGGTTCAGTTTACATTTCCATGTCTTCTGCCTTCTAACCCGTTTTTTTGCTTATTGCCAGGGAGAGTGTAGAAATGATATTCTCTCATATATCTTTTTCTTCATTTGAAATTTTAAAGAGGTAACAATATAATCCATCAAAATGACTCCAGACTGTAAACCTAATTTTTATTAGGCTTGCCTTTGCTATTTGGGCTTCTAAATCTATGGATTTGTGCTTTCTTTATTATATGTAACATAAGGCAAATGCTTTCAGCATTTAGGGCAATAGGTGAGATAAAAACAATGTATTCTAGTCTGCACAAATAACATTAGGCTGACTAATTAAGGAGGACAGTTCAAGAAGGAAAAACTCTGAACACAAATGAGAAACTCATCTTGTTAAGAATTCAGGCCTGAACAATAAAATTTAGGTTGTTTTACATAATTCTTTTCTTAAGTTAGCTAAGAATGTATAAGGAGCTGTACCTCTATGCCTTGAGTTCCTTAAGATTAACTGAAGTGACCCAGACTAATTAACTAATGTGGGAGGAATTCCAATTTTGAACACTGGAAAATGCCAAATTTTAAACCCACCTGTGTTTGCCTATATAACCAGAATGGATCATTGGTTACTAAAAGATACTTTTGGTGATATGGCTGCCATTATGATTTTCCTTTCCCATCCCAGCAGACACTGGAAGGAGGCTAACTTTTGTTTAAGGATTAGATTGTCAACTTACAGTTAAAAATGGTGCATTTTCCATATTCTCCATCAATAGAGAAGCTATGAAGAAAAAAAATGAAAGGTAGATTTTTAAAAATCCATTTTGGATGAAATTAAAACAAGCAAACAAAACACCTTGCCACAATCGCAATCCCTAAACTTTCAAGTGTGGCTGTCAAATACTATTTGTCTGGACCGATGTCAGGAACAAACTGATAGCTGACACAAGACTCTTCAAAAGTCAAATAGGATGTAGATTTCTCCAAAACTATCTCAAAAGAAATGTTTAAGCATACATTGACTAGAGCAATGATATACATGAGCATGGACAGGGTACTGGAGGATAAAAGAATGTTTCGATAGAGAATTAGTTCATATTGTGAAATGAAGCAAAATCAAACTCGTAGGACATCAATTCCTACCCTTTAGCCCCTCAGTGAAAAACGCCACAAGTGAATCAGGTGAAAGAAATTGTGAGAGGAGACAAAAATATTTCATTTTAGTCATAGTTTTATTTAAAAAAAGTTGTAAATTTCAGACAGTATAGTGCAAAAATATATAAACAATTATTTTATGTCAGATAATGTTGGCTCTAACAAATCAACAGTTTTTTTTTTTATTATACAAACATGGCAAAAAAAAGTGAAAATAAAACACTTGCACTCAGGAAAGCATGAAATATTAACATCATTACAATCATGAGTTCTCTATACACGATTCTACCTACCAGTGAAGGTTTATTATTACCATTCCCACCCAAGATTTACTGATGCATCATACATACCAGGTTCGTGCACTGTCTTTAGTAACAGGTGCTTTTGATATCAATAACTATGTTGCAGAGTAAAGCACCCATTCCGCACCTATTTCTCCTTCCTCATTGGGAGTTAATTCTTCCTCCTTGTGGGACACCCACCGGAGAGGTGAATGAAGGCTGGTGGTTAGGGGTTCCTAACTGGCTGGAGCACACAGCTGACCTTCCCCAGTGGTGCTCAGGCCCACCAGCTGTGTAATTCCCCTCTTGCCCTTGAAGGAATGTCCCCTATGTCCTTACAAGGGGTAAATATCAGTGCAATTTCAAAGGATAAAGTAGGTACATAGTTTTATTCAATACTTTATATTATGCCACAAATATGTACAACTTCAATAATAAATTAAGAATAAGTGAACAAAATAAGTATGAGGACAGTTTATAGACACCACGTAATTCAATGCCATTTTTCGCCTTCATTTCCAAGAGTTCATCCAATTCAAGATTCTGGATTATCCTCTTGTTAGAAAAACTGGTTTGGGCAGCCCATGTGAACTGCAGAGGGTTTCACTGCTTTAAGTCGTGGGAAGATGTTTGTTAATAGCAGATATGCTGAAGAGGATCAGTTACAATCAAGAATTATAGAACATTTGTACAATATGTAAAAAACTCCGAAAAAATTCTTTAATATTTTTCTCCTCCAGTTCCTCACATTCTTTGCATCCCGTTTCAGTTATGTTCTGCCAAATAAAAAGAAAGGATTAGATGGGAAAGTCTACTGTATCTCCTTCCTGGGAATATCACATCATTTGAACCACATTCTGAGGTCTTGAGACATGAACACTTTGGCAAATTAATATCATGGTAGGAGGAACCACTGGAAAAGGGAACTGGGAGATTTGATTGAGGTTTATTTTCCTATAATAGGTTAAAGACATTGGAAAAATAAGCCATGGCTTTCTGACCATGGACTTCCTGCTGAGTGCCCTTGAGTGGTCATTTACTCTTCTGGTCATCTACCCCAGCATCACATCCATGCCTCCCCACACGGCACGCAGCGGCCTTGAAGTGTCCCTCGCCTGTTTCTCTCACCTATCCCCATCACCTCAAAGGACATAGCCTAAGTACACTGAGCTCATGCCTTTCGCCCCACGCACACACATCATGCTATTAGCTACGCTGCCGTGTTGGCTTTTCTATCTGTATGTCCCTCATCACTATTTTAGCTACCACTACCCAGGTGGAGATCACTCAGGTGCTGTCTCCACCGGGAAGGCATTCCTGAACCGAGGAGTTCCCCAGGCTGGGCTAAATGTTCCATCCCTACATTCTCAGACCTCCCTCCTCTCACATCATTTATTATATTGATATTAGGGAGTTTCATGCTTTTTATGCTACTACTCTCTAGGCTTTTCTAAGAGCGCAAAGCCACACAGTTTTGTTTCCCTAGCATTTAGCATAGGGCCTAGCACATGGTGGTCACCTAGTCATTACCAGTTGAATTGAACTATTTAGGTAAAGATCAGAAGTTGTAATTCAAACAGTTTCATGGCCAACTAGAATCTTCCAAATGCAGTCATCACAAATAAACTATTTAGAGATCGTCTGAACCATGAAAGCCGTACCAGCAAAAACGAAAAATTAGATTTTACATCCATTAAGCGTTTGAAATTCAGATTCACCAACATTTATCAAGCACATACTCTATGCCAGGCACGGTCATATTCCATATAGCACTGTCCTCCTGGAAAATCATCATGTCAGCCGACAAAGCAGAGAGATTCACATCATGCATCTCAGTTGACATAATCAATGAAATTCTCAGACTGTACAGCCTGCCCACCTCTTCCGCTAGATGTGCAGAACACACCACATCACAGTCACAGTGACCGTGACCATGGTCATCAAGAGCTCATCAGGGATGTTGTTAGGAGTTATCTGTTGCCTGGTTCAGCCTTTCTACCAATAACACAGGAATAACATATCACAAGAGTATTTTAAAGATCAGTATGTTCATTTCATAAATACATCAAGCGTCTAGAATATGCCAGGCAATGCTTAGGGAGTTGGGATACAGCACTGAAGAAAAAAAAAAAAATACAACACAAAAATAACTGCCCCTTTGAAAATGGCATTCAAATGGGGAAAAGCAGACAAAAGCCATTAAGGAAAATGTCAACTAGTGGGGCATGCAGACAAGGGGATGGGACGTGGGAATGGATTGCCACGTGAGGAGCTGACAGCACTGAGAAGGTGACATCTCAGCAAAGACCTAGAGCAACCTGGCATGTTTCGGGAAAGTCCACAGCGTCCAGCCATCCTGGCTGAGGAGCTCCATAGTTTTCAGTCGCCTCTGCCTAAACACCCTTCCCGGGAGATAAGGCTCATTCCTTCTCGTCCTGGTTTGGTAGAGAAACCTCTAAGGCTGAATCCCAGCCCTCTTACCTGCCTTCCTTTTGGCCACTGGAATTAATAAATAACTGAGCTATTACTCATTCCTTTCCGATTGCTTTATTTATGCTTTACTTTATGGTGGATCCCTTAAGAGCAGAGACCGATTTGGGCATGGCCCCAATTCTCCTTGAATTATTAACATTTTTATGACTATCCTATTGCAGCACTTGTCCTGCCAGTGGGTAAGAAGAAGACAATCCCCCGAAGTGAAAGTGCTTGGGTATGAATCCTGGCTCCCCCTTCCACCAACTGTGCTAACTGGAGGAAGTGATTTCAAGCCCTGAGCGCTCCAATTTCTTCAACCTTAAAACAGACACAAGGATAACTATCTCACAGATTTATTGTGAGGATGCAAGGAATTACCCCATTGCCGCTGAAGAGCAGTGTTGTCTGGCATAGAGTAATAACCGAATAAATGCGAATTGCCAGTCGTGATGCAAAACACTTAACTACGTAATTAGATTCATGTCTCTGCACTGCACCTGGGGATGAACACCTCGAGGGCAATGACCTCCCTGGTTCACCAGTGTCCCTCTTGCCCCAAAATGCACCGCCTAGTGTCATGCAGTAAATGTCCATTGAGTAAACTGGTGAGCTACGTCAGGGCTGTGCCCATGGTAGTGATGGCGGCCACTCCACCGGTGTGAACTCCCTCTCCCAAGAGTGTCCCCAGAGGATCTGCTTGTCCCTTACATCCAGCCAATGACCTCACCCAACCAAGCCATAATCATCAGACAAAGCTCCATCCGACTAGTGGAAAACTCACCGCATTAGAAGATAAACTACTGTTTGCTAGGATGATAATGTTAGGTATTGTTTCATTAAGGTCAGGATGACTGAACTCAAGCAAAATAACACGTAACTCCAGGAGAAAGCACTTCATCGCTGTGACTTTGCAGCCGGGCTAAAAATAGAGTTACAGAGAATCATTGTGAAAAAAACAACCATCTTTCTGTTATTCATGTTTACATAGATGTAATTTTGATTTTTTAAAAAAGTCAATCCAAATACTTTATAAAGAAACCCAATCTCCCTAAGAAGTTTTGCATAGGAGACAGTTTTTTTTTTCTTTTTTGGCTTTGAAATCAAATCCCAAACAAACTGACAACAAAACAATCTACGAGGATGGTGATATTATATGGATGAGCGAACATAAGTCTAGAAAACACAGAAATAATAGGCTACTTTTTCTCACTGAGAACATTTCCTCTTTGTAAAAGGGTGATAATACCAGCCTGAGACTCTCCAAACATTAGTATGTCTAGTGCACTGAAAGAATTTTTAGAATCAGATTGTGTTGTTAACATTTTAAACAGTGATAGCTGCTGATCTTGCTATTTCTGCAAGTTCCGAAGTTCCAGAAGCAGAAGCGACTCCAAGAAATGGATTAGAAAAATCAGCATCTGAGTACAGCCCTCTCACGGGCTGGCCAAATCAGAAAGACACCTTCGGATACCACAGGAGTATGTTTCCCACAACGCTTACTTGAATGAAAGCCTAAACTTCAAAGAAACATTGATGACTGTTTGGAGGTTTGACCATGGCTTGTTTGACCTTCTGTTCTCACTGCCTCACACAGTGCCTGGGACCCAGAGGGCACCCCACAGCAGCTGCCCAAGATTGAAGGGTAAATGCTGCCCCATATAGATAGACAGACAGACAGACAGGCAGAGAGAAAGATAGATAAAATAATAGATACATAGATAGATAAAACAGGTTCAGAAATGTTTAGTGACTTCTAAGGTAACACAGCTAGGAAGAGGCTGAATCAGAATTTAAATCTAAATTTCAAACACAGCTTCTTTCTATAACCCATGAGTTACAAGGTTATCTTCTTTCAATTAAAAAAAAAGCAATCTCGGGAGTTTGGGTAGTTAATTGACTTCTCTCTACTTTGGGAAAATGGAAGGCATGCTGAAGCCAAAGAGGCAGCCAATTTTTATGTGTAGTAGCACTAGCCAAGTGGTTGATGAAAGTCTGTTTTTTTCTAGTTTGCGGTGAAGGCTTCCTCCCAAAGCTAAGAAAGTCTTCACAGGAGCAATATCTATTTCAGAGAGGTCCTAACTGAACACTAATTGAGAGCAGACTCATGGTTCTCCACACACACACATAGAGTTTGTTTCCGATGGGGTGACACGCCTTCGGCAATGTCAAGGTATTAATGAGACAAGTTCAAGATCATTTATGAATTCTGATAGGTTTTATGAGTTGTGTTTATTTCTTTTCTCACATAGAAGGTAAGCAGCCAGAATCCTTTTCTGACAATTTTAGAGATTCATTCAAAATCTAGAATGTGGATGCATTTAAGCGATTTGTAGAAAATTTGATTAAGGGTTGTAATACACTACAGCATTGGAAAGGACAGATAGGGTGGATAGTTTTAAATTCAATCAGTTAACCCGATTTTGTATTTAATTGCATCATGATCTAATTGCGTCGCGAAATGTATAATATATTTTGTTTGACATTGATGGAAAAGGCTGTTTTATATTTTGATTTGGTACCATCATGAAAATAGCAACTCTATAGCTCTTTGTCCCCAACTCCCACAACCTCAACAATTACTTACAAAATTCATTGATCATATGTTGTCAGAACACACCAAAAGTCAGATTTAAAAACTATACACCCTTCAGTAAATTTATGAAAATATACTTCTTCAACTTTTGAAAATTGGAAAAAATAGCAATTTTCAAAAAAAATAAACTATACTCACATGAGCATCACTTTCAGTATATAAAGTGGTATCAATATGTATAGACTGAAAGGAAACAAAATTAGACAATATGAAAAACTATGCCCTGCTTTAGATATAGTGAGAACAAACTACTGAAAACATTAAAGTAAGCTTTTTAAATTATTTTTTTATTTTGAGACAATTTCAGATTCATATGCAACTCTAAGAGCAAACAGAGATCCTGTGTCCCCTTCGCCATTCCCCCAGCAATAATACCATGCATAACCGTAGTATGATATCACCACCAGGAAACTGACATTGATACAATCCACACGCCTTGTTCAGATCTCACCAGTTTGAGGTGCACTAAATGTGTGTGTGCAGTTCTACTCAATTTTATCAGATGTGTAAATTCATGTAATCACCTCCACAATTATAGTTACCTCACCATTAAAATCCTCCTCCTACTATCTTATAGCTCAAACCACCTTTCTTTCTTTTTTTTTTTTAATTAACATGTAATGTATTATTTGTTTCAAGAGTACAGGTCTGTGAATCATCAATCTTACACAATTCACAGCATTCACCATAGCACATACCCTCCCCAATGTCCATCCCCCAGCCACCCCATCTCTTCCACTCCCCTCCCCTCCAGCAACCCTCAGTTTGTTTCCTGAGATGAAGAGTCTCTTATGGTATGTCTCCCTCTCTGGTTTCATCTTGTTTCATTTTTCCCTGCTTTCCCCTATGATCTTCTGTCTTATTTCTCAAATCCCTCATATCAGTGAGATCATATAATTCTGTCTGATGGACTTATTTCGCTTAGCATAATACCCTCTAGTTCCAACCACCTTGTTGCAAATGGCAACATTTCGCTTCTTTTGATGGCTGCATAGTATTCCACTGTGTGTGTGTGCATGTGTGTGTATATATGTATGTGTGTGTGTATGTGTATATATGTATATAGATATATATCTATATCTATATATCACATCTTCTTTATCCATTCATCTGTTGACAGACACCTGGGCTCTTTCCATAGTTTGGCTATTTTGGACATTGCTGCTATAAACATTCAGGTGCACATGCCCCTTCGGGTCACTACATTTGTATCTTTAGGGCAAATCACCTTTCTTAACACACATTCCAACCTCTACCTTTCTAATCCCTGGCAACCACTTCTCTCCTCTGCATTGCTGTATCGTTTCAAAAATGTTGTATCAGTGGACTCATATAGTATATAACTGTTTGAGATTGGCCTTTTGAATACACTATTTTTTGAGCAGTTCTAGCTTTATAGAACATGAACAGAAACTACAGAAAGTTCCCATATATACCCTGCCCCCGGCCCCACTTTCTCCTGTTATTAATATCTTGCATTTGCATGGTACATCTATTACAACTGAGGAGTTGGTATTGATACATTTGTAACAAACGTCCAGAGATTGCGTTGGGATTCAGCCTTGGTGCTGTAGGTCCTGAGTTTTAACAAGTATATAATGACATATACCCACCATTACAGTATCATTTGCAATAGTTGCTTTATCACAAAGATCACCTGTGTTCCATCTATTCATCTCTCCTTTTCCCCTGACCCCTGGAAATTTCCCACTGATGTTTTTGCTGTATCCATAGTTTTATCTTTTCCAGAAAGATATATAGTTGGAACCACAGTATGTAGCCTTTTTAGATTGGCTTCTTTCACTTCGCGGATACGCTTTTGAGGTTTCTCTGTGTCTTTTCACGTCTAGAAGCTCATTTCTTTTTATTGCCGGATAATATTCTATTGTACGGATGGAGGTACCACAGTTAGCCTATTCGGATCAGCTTTTTTTCACCCAGCATAAGAATACTCTGGAGATCTGTCCAACTTGTTGTATCAGTAATTCTTTCCTTATATTCGCTCAGTATTGTTCCTCGATATAACGTACGACAGTTTATTCATCCATTCAAGGGAATTTCGTCGTTTTCAGTTCTTAGGTATTACAAATAAAGGTCTATGAACATTCATGTGCCTGTTTTTGTGTGGACATGAGTTTGCACTTCTCTGATATAAATGTTGAGGAGTGCAACTGTTGGATCATATGGCAAATGCATGTTTTATTTTAAAAAAAACAGTCAAGCTATTTTACAGAAGCTGTAAATTCTTATATCCTCATCAAAAATATGTGTGACCCAGTTTCTCCACCATTCCTTGCCAGCATTCAGCATTATTACTACTTTTTAATTTAAATATTCTTATAAGTGCATGGTGATGTTACTGTGGCTTTACTTTGTATTCTCTAAATAATGGATAGCCATTTATTGACATTTTCTCCCAGAAAAAGATATTCATATTTATAATTTCTTCATTTCTAATATGCATACTTTTGTTCTTTTTCTTGCCTTGCCAATTTAGCTCAAATTCCAAGATTGTGTTGAATAAGAGTGGTGAGAGATGACATATTTGTCTGGTTTCTACTCTTAGGGGGAAAACATTCAGTCTTTCTCCATTAAGTATGATGGTAGCTCTAGGTTTTTGTACATGCTCTAAATCAAGTTGAGAAAGTTACTTCTCTTTCCTTGTTTGCTGAGGAATTTTACTAGGAATCGGTATATTCTTAAAATGCTTTTCCTCCATCAATTGATCCAATCATATGATAACCTACTTTAGCCTGTTGATAAGGTGGATTACAGAGACTGACTTCCCAAATAGTAAGCATGTCTTGCATACCTGGAATAAATCCCATTTGTCATGGTATATAATTCTTTTAATACACTGCTGGATTTTATTCGCTATTTTATTGAGAATTTCTGCATCCAAGTTTATTAGAGGTATCCGTCGCTTTCTCTTTTGGTATCATCTTTGCCTGGTTTTAGCATCAGGGTAACACTTGCCTAAGTGAGTTAGAAAGTTTTTCTTCTTCTATTTTTGGAATAGATTGTAATAGATCTATTTTGGAAGCGATTGTAAAATCTGTGTTAATGTTTCTTTGTTTGGTAGAATGCTCCAGTGAAACTAGGTGGGCCTAGGAATTCTTTCTGGGGAGATTATTTCTGGTGAATTCAGTGCCTTTAATGGTTATAGTAGTTTGGTGATTGTTTATTTCATCTTCATTACATTTTGGTAGTTTGTGGTTTTTGAGAAATTGGTCCATTTCCTTCAAGTTGTCAAATTTAGAGGATAAAGTTGTTTATAGCTTTTCTTTATTATCCTCTGAATATCTGCAGATTCTGTAGTGATAGCCTCTAATTTCAGTTCTGATATTAATGGTTTATGTCATTTCTTTTTTAATCTTTGTCAGTTTTTCTAAAGGTTTATCAATTTTATTGATTTTCCCCCAAATAAGGAGTGTTATGTTTCACTAAGTTTCCCTATTATTTTTCTGATTACAATTTCATTAATTTCTGCTCTTATCTTTACTTTTTTCCTTCCTTCTGCTTGTGTTAAGTTTATTTTGCTCTTCTCTTTCCAGTTTTTTGAGGTGGGAACCTCAATTGTTGATCTGAGATCTTTCCTCTTTCTTAATATAACTATTTGATTTTATAAATTTCCCTCTCAGTAATGCTTTCTCTGAATCCCACAGATCTTGATGTGTTGTATTTTCATTTTCATTCAAGTCTATGTACTGTTTTATATCCTGTGAGATTTAATCTTTGACCCACGGAATATTTAGAAATATATTATTTAATTTCCAAGTGTTTGGAGATCTTCCTGCTCTATTTGTGTGATTGACTTCTACATGATTCCACTGTGGTCAAAGAACACACTCTGCATGATTTCAATTCTGATAAATTTGTTAAAGTGTGTTTTATGGCCCATGATACCATTAGTCTTGGTGAACAGTGCCTGAAAAAAATACCAATTCCTCATCGGTGGGTGAAGTGTTTTATCGATGTAAATTAAATATTGTTGGCTGACTGTGTAGTCCGGTTCTTCTATATTCTTTCTGATTTTCTGTCTTGTCATTCAGTTTGTTCCTTAGGAGGTGGTGAAGTCCTCAACTATAATTGTGAAATTGCCTCTTTCTCCTCTCAGTTTGATTAGTTTTAGCATCCTGTATTTTGAGGCTTTGCTATTTGGTGTGTACACATTTAAGATCACATTTTCCTGGTGGATTAATCTCTCACCATTTTGTAATGTATCTCTTGATCCTAGTAGTTTTACTTGCTATAAAGTCTAGTGATTTTACTTGCTGATATTAAGAGAGCTACGTCTGATTTTTACAATTATTGTGCATTATGTGTATTGGCTTCCTAGAGCTGCAGTAACAAAATATCAAAATGAGGACTTAAAACAACAACAGTTTTATTCTCTTATAGCTCTGGAAGTTGGAGGTCCAAAATCAAGATGTCAGTAGGGCCAGGATCCCTCTGAAGGCTCTAGGACAATCCTTCTTTACCTTTCCCAAGTCTCTAGTGACTCAGGCAATCTTGGGCCTTCTGTGGCTTCTAGCTTCATCATTCTATTTTCCTTTGCCTTGTAGCTGCCTCCAAGTTCAGGTGGCTTTCTTCCCTGTCACTCTCTGTGGTCTGTCCTCTCCTTAGAAGGACAGTGAGTCATGGAGTTGGGGTCCAACCCACTCCAGTAGGACCTCACCTTAACTAATTATATTTGCAAAGACCCTATTTCCAAAGAAGGTCACATTTGGAGATTCCAAGTAGACATGAATTTTTTTTGCGGGGGTGGTGGGCAATACTCAACAACCCATTACAATATGGTATATTCTCTCCTCCTTTCAATTTCTACCCACTTATATCATTGTGTTTAAAGTGAATTCCTTGTAGACAGCAAAATATTGGTTTGTTTTTGTTACCAATTTGGCCAATCTCTGTCTTTTACTTGTATTCTCCTTCCTCTCTCCTTCTGAGATGCTAATGCTAAGAATTCTGGATCTTGGGTGCCTGGGTAGCTCAGTTAGTTAGACTTCAGACTTGATTTTGGCTCAGATCATGATCTCAGGGTCGTGAGATCAAACCCAGCATTGGGCTCCATGCTCAATACAGAGTCTGCTTGTCCCTCTACCTCTGGTCCTCCCCCGACTCTCCCTCCATCTCTCCCTCTCTCTCTAATAAATAAATTAAAAAAAATTTTTTAAGAGTGCTAGATCTTTTATTATACCAAAGATCCCTGAGGCTTTTTTTTTTCAGTGTGTTTTATATTATTCTATCTTCAAGTTCACTGTCTTTCCTCTGTCATACTCTTTCTGCTAGTGAATGTCTCCAGTTTGTTTTATATTTCAGTTATTGTATTTTTTAGTTCTGTCATTTCCACTTGGTTCCTTTTACATATTGCATTTCTTTGCTAAGACTTTGTTTTATCCAATTGTTTCAAAGGTATCTGTAATTGCTTGTTGGCACATTTTTATGATGGCTCCTTTAAAATCCTTGTCAAGTAATTCCAACATCCAATCCGTCTCAGTTTCAAAGTCTATTTCAGTCATTTCTGAGTCAAGTTGTGATGTTCTTGCTTCTTGGTATAATGAGTGAGTTTCAGCTGTATTCTGGTATTGAACTTTATGTTAGGAGACCCTGGTTCCATTTAAATCTTCTATATCAGCCACCCTGTTTAGGTTTAGGTTTGGACTTCTGTTTATAAGCTGTGGTTCCAATGACAGTATAGCTTTCAGAATCTTTGTGGTGCTAATTTGAAATGCTTGGTTCACTTGGTGCCCCCAGGACTCCCACTGGTCCCTGCTGTGTCACCCATTGTGGTGGAAAGCAATTCCCTGGCTGTAGTGGTCCTCAGTGGGGCTCCTGCTCTCTTTAGCCATGCAGGTTCTGCCAGGCCGGCTAGTGTCTCCAAGTGAGGGGGGGTTTCCTAGCCACAGGACAGACAGCTCATCCCTGGGTCACGCCATGCTCCCTACAAGAGCTGCCAAAGCTGCCCTGTTTCTTTGCTGGAGACTCGAGTCCCTGGACTGTGGTGACAGAGAGCTTTTCATACTAGGCCACTTACAAATTGAGTTTTAAAGATAATTAGGATCTGAAAAGTGTAAGTAAAAGATTTCACTTAAGGATTTGCCAGGCTCATGAATTGCTACAAAAATATTGTTTCAAGTGAGATTTCATGAAGACCAACAGCAGAACACAGGGAGAGGCATACTCCATAGCAATCATACCAGAGAGTTTATGGAAAAATGAGTACTCACTTGAATAATATTGTCAATTTTTTCCAAATCCTTTATTACAAACCCCCAGTTTGCTTCTGTTTTAGGAAGACCTGCACTGATAGAGCTGAAAGCAAAACCAAAGAGCAAAACATTTTGAATGGATATAATAATACTGATGAATATTACTTGATGAATTATACTTGATGAATATTACAGGCAAAAGAGCAATCAAGATTTTTTTTATTTTGATCAGTGAAAAGATAAGTGTTATCCTTGCCTTTGTGCATTCAACAGACTTGTAGATGAATATAAACACCAAATATATATATATACACATATATGTGTATATATATATACACATATATATATATATATATTTGGTGTTTATATTCATCTATATGTGTGTATATGTGTATATATATATATACACACATATATATGTGTGTATACATATATGTATATATATATATATAACTCTTGGTATCTGAGGCTAACTTAAGGGCTGACCTACCGGGATTAGGGAAAAACCTAATTTGGAAAGATAACTTATAAATAACCTGGTGTAATTTATCACAATGGAATAAACATAGCACCTGATGTGCCATAGTGCTCAATAACTGTTTTTGAATGAATTGCTAGTTTTCTAGCAGAGGTTCCATTGGACTTTTAAGTCCAATAAATAGGCAAAATTCTTAAAATAAGCAATAATCATTTTCACATACAGGTTTTGATAGTAAGTATTCTTTACCATCTATGTTTCCCTGCACCAAGAAGGTATTAGTAAGGAAAACTGAGCTGAGGGTCATATTACATAACTACAAGCTGGGTGCTTTGGGCCAACTATGTGCAGAGAATTAGCTACATCTGAGAGAGAAGAAAAAAGTTAATAAGCATGGAAGTATATGAATGTATAGTAGGAAAAAAAAACCAAAGGCCTAAATAAAGAAAGAAACATTTCAAACTGAAGTAAGATAGGGCTCAGAGGATGGGAGATGTCTGTGTCAGAGATAGATAAAAAAGTAACATGGACAAGCCCTAAATATCTATATTTTACTGCTGTGAAAATTATGTAAGCTATTAATAAGGAATAGGCTTCCAAGTTTAGTTAAATACCAAGAGGTCTAGTTTTTTGGAAGCATAGAGCACTCATTTGGAATATTACCCAAATGCAGAAATGTCCATTTGGGTGTTTATCACACCTACTCAGAATCTCCGTAATCTGCCCTCTATCGTACCCAAATACTTAGTTCCTAAGGATTTAAGCGAACTGAACACAAACCAGTTTAATAGAGAAGATACTGAAGAACAATGATCATGGCCATTAACATGATGCCATTTATGCTGAAAAATAAACTCACCCCAAAATGAAGACATGAATGCCAGCCTCGGTTAGAAAATGACAATTTAAAAGTAAACACAAGTAGCATTGGATGGAAGTACTTCTCAAATATGTTTTCTGAAAAATATAATCATAGGCAAAGTGGTTAAAACTCTTTTAGTTAAAAAATGATACTTAAAATCATATTTTATCATATTCTTAGATGCCAAAAGGTAATTTTATCACCATTTCAGAATTAATGCTCTTTGTTAGAATTAATGAGGCTAGAATTTATTCTAGAAGAAGAAGAATTTCCTTCTTGCTTTCTCCCCACCTCCAGCTCTGTCTCTTATGTGCAAAATTCTTTAATATGTATTTCTCCAGGCACATTTCAGTGATGATAATTTTAAGATAATTCACATATTTACTAACTTACATATATACTAATATCACCACTTACTTTGTTTCTATTATCCTTATCTTTGCTCTCATCTTTTTTTCCCTTTTAAATAGTTCAGCACATATTTGTTTGATTGCCCTTAATTCTCCATGGCACATTCATTTTTTTTTAAATTTGGGTGTGGTTGACAGTAGTTCAACATATTTTATACAGCACAGGTTAATAACATAAGTTACTAATATAGGTGTACTAGATACATATTAACTTTATGTAACTATATGAAAACTCATTATATATTGATATCATTTGGAGGAAAAAATGGATAAAAATAGACCCAAGTAAAGATACTCTATGCCATTCTAACAAGCGATATGTAATAATTTTTCTTGGTGATTTAGGAATATGTTTACTGTAGAATTTCTTACTTTTCACTTTTGCCTGACTCTCTCACACTGTCAAAACCTTTACAGTTTCAGACAATACCCTAAACCACTAAGAATATGTGCCTCATTTAGTCTACACCAAAGAGACAAATAATATCCAGACACTGTCATCAAAGACTAGACAATTCATTGATTAGATGGAAATTAAAAGCACAAAATAAGGTAAAATAAGTGAACTACTACATTTACAATGACATGAAGAGCTAATCAGGGTGTTACTAGAGTTAAAAGACCTATTTCTTCTTATTTTTTTCAAAATAAGAATAATCCAGAGATCTGGGATGTCTCAAGGTCTTCGGAGAAGAGTCCTATAACTTACTATGAACGATCTGATCTGAGATACAAGTGATCTTTTATGAAAAGTCCATCTACTCTCTTTTTTAAATTTTTCTTACCGAAATTCTCATTACTCAATGCCAGGGTAACTCCTTGAGTACAGAAGAAGAGCTGGCTACGGCAATGGGTTTCCAGCAGCCATCCATCCAGAAGACTTCCTATAATACAACCCAGGGCAACGAGTGAGGCATTAAAAACACAAGTGGTCTAGCAGGGGGAAGAAAGGGAGGAAATTAACAGTCATTACGCACTTACTCTTTCAGGGGCTATTAGTTACTTAAGACATATATCCCATCCCATCCTCACAACAATCGTATGGGGTAGGGCTAGCAGCACATGGGGAAGCTGCCCAGGCCCACAGCAAGTACGAGACAGCAAGGCTTTGAGACCAGGTCTGTCTGATGAACAAGTCAAACACTCTCCACTAGAGTATGTCCCTGAATTGGCAAATTCCAAAATTCCGTATCAGTCAACAGCAGAAGCGACCAGACACCTGCCATCATATAAACTACTGAATGTTCACTTAACTTACGACACAGATAGCTACTTCTACAGACCCTGAACAGCTAGCTGTCTGCAGTCTTTGAAATGAATTAAAACATTATTTGAGAATCTCAGAAGTAACAAATTCTATTTTTTCTAATTCGAGGCAAGGAAGTATGTGAAGATCACACACTCCCAATTTCAATTCCATTTTATTAAAGCAAAAATTAAAAGCGAGATACATACAATGTAAAGCTATTTGTGCCATTCCTTTAAAATAGTATGTATTTACTGATCTCCCCTCAAAGATCTGCCACGGCCTTGACATAAATATTCATTGCAATTAAGTTCTATAAATTCAATTATTTAAACTACTTTATTTTTGATATATGATGTATAAATCTTTAAAAGAAAAAAACTAGCATCTATCTAGGTGTTAAACGAGATACTATGAGAGTACATTCAGCAGGAATGCCTTTGTTTTTCAACAATAACATAGGAAATTGAATCCTCCTATTACATATGATCTGACTCTTAAGCACGAGTTTAATTACAGCAAACCCTCCTTATTACTCCCATCTTAGAATCATCTTCTTTGTATTATCTCAGAGCTTCAGATTTTCACAAAACTTTGTAATTTTCTTCTCCTAATTATCCAAAGTCTCTTCAATTCCCTGCATCCTTTTGAGTTGTATCCCAAACTCCACATTTTTCCAATAAAAGTACTTATTGACTGGAGTCTGAGCAAAACTAAGTGTGCTAAGGTGTTAATAAGGCCTTTCTGAAGGTACTTGAGCAAGCGGTGAAGTTTTCACAGCGCGTCTCCATGCGTGCAAGGGGTTCGAGTCTCACCGGGGGCGCAATGGTCATCCACCGCCATGCCCAATCACCCCCGGCGGGCTCCCGTGAAGCAAGACTAAGCCTGTACCCAGAATGTTCCTGCCAAGTATGGTGGAACGCAGCAGGAACCCGCCTCCAAAGCAGCAAGCAAAATAATGACCGTGGAGGCCAGTGTCGCCGAAAAGGGAAATTCACAGCTTTGCCACTGATGAAAGGACTGACGCAGTGCCCTGGGCGAATAGCAAAGAATCCGATTTTTACCGCAGCTTCGGAAGCATTCAACCTGGCCCTTGCTAGTTCTGTGGACCAGTAATTTTACCAGAAATATGGGTGTATGCGCACGCGTGCACGTGTGTGGGTCAAAACGCAGCATGGGTTAAAGAAACCTGAGAAGGTAAAATATTCCTTTCTCTATAGCCAGGACTCAAGGTGAACAATTAATATAACTAATTAATATTAGTGACGGTAACATTATGTGTTTGTATCTGGTGCTTTCAGGTTTACCAAAGTACTTCCTATGTGTCACCCCATCCAATCCCGGCAATCTGTTCCTGTGAAAGATACTACTCTTATTTTACGGCGAAGAAACTGAGGCTCTGAGAGCTCAAGCGACTTGCTTCCGGTGAATGTCACATGCTCGCCATGAAAACTGACCTCACAGCCCAAGGCGGGCAGAGGGAGGAGGGATGCCAGAAACAGAGATGCGTGGCCCCTTCCTCTAGGAAGCAGCCAACCCACCCCTCAGGAGTAAGAAAAAGCCACTGCTCCACAGACACTTTAAAAACCAGTCTTTCTGATTCCTTGTGTGAAACAGAACTTCCGCTCTCTCACAAGTGATCTCATTTGACTTTTCACAAAATACCTGTTAGAGAGAAGTGGCTGAAACCAGGTTGATTACTTTCTGAGAAGGCAAATGTAGGGATGAAGTAAATTACCCACTTCCTTTCACGTCATATTTTTGGAGAACCAGGAGAGCAGTGTTTAATCCTGGCATACTAATTGCACGTGATTGTGACACACGCTCGCCATCAGGTACCTTTGCTTTGTCCCTCGTTCATCTGGGGGCCTGGATCCAGGAACAACAACAACAAAAAATACTGAATCCCGGCCTTGCACTCAAGTGGCTCACAAATTTGAAGCAGGATTTTTGTGTGTGTGTGACCTTGTGATGGGGTGACACTGCAGGATGGCTGTTGACCTTATGGCAATACTGCTATGCTAGCAGGACGTCGCTACCCAGGGGTAAGACGTCGGGAAGAGCTGACTAATCAACACAGCTGGGCAGCTCTAAGAGCTTTAATTCTGGAGTGACTTGTGAAAATAATTGTACACATCTTGCATTCCATATCAACATTGTAGTCCTTCCCGGCGAGGAAATATAATCTAACACACCGCTGTTTTATCTTGTTTTATTCTGCTTGATTATTTACTTGCCTAGTCACACGCTCAAAGTAAATTTTAAAAGGTTTAGCAGAGAAGAAGAGTTTTAAGTATTGGTTAATTTGGTAAACACATTCATCTATTCAAACACCACACACACACACACACACACACACACACACACACACACGAAAAACGAGGGCAAACCAATGTCGCAAGCTTATGTGACTATAAAGGATGAAAGACAGAAGGTTGCCTGGGTGGCTCAGTCAATTAAGCATCTGCCTTCAGCTCAGGTCATGATCCCAGGGTCCTAGGATGGAGCCCCATGAGCTCCCTGCTCAGCCGGGAGTCTGCTTCTCCCTCCACCTACTTGTGATGTTTCTCTCTTTCTCTCTCTCCCTCAAATAAAAAGAAATCTTAAAAAAAAAAAAATGGAATGGAAGACAGCTTTGCTGCCCTTTACTCATTTAGCAAATATTTACTGAGTACTTACTACGTGCTAGGTATTTCTCTCAGACCTGGGGATACATCAGTGAATGCAGAGGACAAACCACCTTGACTTTAGTGAGAAAGACAGACCACGTCCTGTATACATAAACTAGCTAATTCTATGTTTTATTAGAGAGAGATGAGTGATTTAGGAAAAGGAAACACAGAATAATCGTGAACAATACGGCTCTGATTTGGAGTAGGTTGTCGGGGTCAAGTTCAGTGAGAACAAAATGAGATCAAAGACATACAGGCAGCAAGGGAATGCGCCCCGAGGATACCGCAGTAAAGAGCATCTAAAGCAGAGGGAAGAGCCGGAGCAAAGGCACAGGCGCAGCGGCGGCCTCTGAGTTCGGGGCTTGGGAAGGAGGCCCAAGGCGCAAGCGAGAGAAAGCAGCCGGAGATGAGGTCGGACACATTGAGGGAGGCGCGGGTCAGACTGGGACCTTTCCGTCACTGTGAACATCTAAAGCTGGAAATCACTGTAGCACTTTGTCAAAGCAGGTAGCTGATAGCAGATAGCTGATACCATCTGAACGAGCTGGTTAAGAATCTGTCTTGGCTCCCCAGTTAAGGACAGGCTGGGCTGGGCAGAGCAAGGCTGGAAGCAGCGGTCCCATGATGACAGCAGAGCAGGAGACACGCGGCAACAAGACAGGCTTGGGCGGAGCAGAGACTTTGAAGGGAGGGGGCAGATCAGGAGGTTTTATTTTGGATGTGTGCAGTTTGAGACGTCTGGGACCTATCCACATGGAAATGTCGAAGAGGCAGTGAGATGTAAGAATCTTGAGTTCGGGAAAGTGGTTTGAGCCTGAAATCCACATGGGATTCCTGACACCGGTCGAGATCACCAAGGAAAAGGTAGAGAAAAGGACCAAACCTGAGCCACGGTATTTCAATACGAACTAGTCAAAGACATAAAAAAGGACCAGCAGGGGCACCTGGGTGGCTCAGTGGGTTAAGCCTCTGCCTTTGGCTCAGGTCATGATCCCAGGGTCCTGGGATCGAGCCCCACATCGGGCTCTCTGCTCAGCAGGGAACCTGCTTCCTCCTCTCTCTCTGCCTGCCTCTCTGCCTACTTGTGATCTCTGTCTGTCAAATAAAATTAAAATCTTAAAAAAAAAAAAAAAAGGCCCAGCAAAGAAAAACTCAAAGGAAAGACCAGCGAAAGGGTGGGAAGTGAAGAGTGTGATGTTCTAGAAATCAATGAAAATTATATCCAGGAAAAGAAATGATCACATCAAAGGTGCTGACAGGTCGAAGAGGACATGGATTGGGTCCTGAAGTGGGCTTAGTAACATGGGGGTGCTGGGTGACTCTGAGAAGAGCATTTTCAAGGAGTGATGGAGACAGAAGCCTGCCCAAAATGGGCTGAGGAGAAAGTGGGAAGAAAGGATTTATAAAAGGTTAGTGCAGGCAATATTCTGCCAAATACTGCTCCAAAAGGGAGAAAGAGAGTGATAATAGGTAATAGAAGGAGGGGGGAGATAACAGCATGTCTGTATGCTGAGGGAGACACTGAGGGAGAAAGGACCATTGCCAGAGTGATGTTCTTGAATAGGCAAGTGAGGAGGAGATGGGACTTCATGCACAAGTAGGCTGGTGGCTGGGTCATCCACTGTCATGGAAGGAAGGCTGAGGGTCAGGGTAGATGCGGTGTCTGGGTGGTAGGATCTGTGGTGGTGTATGTTCTCAACTGTTGCTTCCATTTTCTCGGTGAATTGGGACAAAGAGTCATCAGCAGAGAGTGAGGACAGGGAGGGAGTGTTGGGGGTTGAGAACAGAGGAAAATCTATAAAATAGCCATTGAGGTAAGGAGAAGAACAACAAATGTAAGTACAATATGAGAGCTGTGCCCATTGGAAGTCCAGGACCGTGAAGGGTTGGAAAGGAAGATTAGTCGGCACGTGTGTTTTCTCCAGCCACATTTAACTACAAGGAAGCAGCAGGCCCAGCAGAGGTG